ACCCATTAACAGAATAGTATAGCAATCTTACATTTGTGATTGATATTTCTACTGTGATGTTTCCTTACATGACTCTTGGGAAGGAAATGTAATTTTACTTTCTTCTGTTAATCCATGTTTGGATGTTATTAGCCCCATCTATAGAAAAACTTTTTAAGTTATTGTAAAGGTTCCTATACTGTATGGTTTTGTATTTGAATAAACTAATTGATGCTTTGGGATTTTTGAAATGGTGTGTCAGCTAAATGCTTTTGGGATCTAACTTGTAGCCAGCCTGGTGATTGGGATGGGACATTACACTGCTGTTTTGTGCAAGGAGGATAGAATTGCAGGATCACTTGTCCTAAGATAATGAGTCTCCCAGACGGGCAAACGTTCTGAAGCCTTTCAAGATAATGTGTCTCTCAAACGGGTAAATGTTCTGAAGCCTCTCAAGATAATGTGTCTACCAAACGGGCAAGTGTTCTGAAGCCTCCCAAGATAATGTGTCTCCCAAACGGGTAAGTGTTCTGAAACCTCCCAAGATAATGTGTCTCCCAAATGGGCAAACCTTATTGTTGTTTACTTATGATTAAAAAGATCTAAAAAATAAAATTAGTGTCTTTTTCTAGATTTCAAACATTGCATTAACCAATCATTGTATTGAAATAAAACAACACTATTTCAATATCATTATATCAACTTATCAAATTCTTGAGCTAAATTTTATCATTATAACTTTATGTTACAATATATATATTATTTTTAATTGAAAATTTGCATTGTCAATATTCTTACTTCATAAATCATAAGCTAAAAATTTCACAATCTTTCCTCGAAAAGAAATTGTTAAAACAAAACGGTTATTACAATTTTTTTTTAAAAAAATAATAATAATTTAGACCTCTTTTTTGAAGCTTGACTTTTAAAGTTTAGGTCCTCAATTTTATTGAATCGACCCAACAAATTAGATTTAAAATAATTGGGATTTGAAACTCAGCATTTCATCTCATGCGAGTTTCCATGGAATACAAATCGAAGTACAACACTATAGCAAATGGCATTGTTAAAGTCAAAAACACATATTTTAATATGCATGTACATGTATATATCCAAAACGGAAAAGGGTCATATTTGCCCTTGTACTCTTAGAAAAGGGTCATATTTACCCTTCATCATATTTTTTTGAATATTTGCATTTACCATCCAATTTTGGGTACATATTTGTTTATTAGTCCACGTGGCGCCTACATGGCTCCATGTGTATATTATTTTATTATAATTAAATTACTTTCTATTTAATATTATATTTGAGTCATTTAGTAAAATCCAATCGAAGTAATGTGAAAATCCATTAGCCCAAATTTTATACCCATCATCTTGCGTCACATTAGATGATAGGTGTTTAAGATTTAAAAGCTGTTCCGAAATGATTAACACCGACTGAGGATTGTGGTGGACAGTAAGAGTGAAGTGGATTTGCTGGTGCACCTCCGATCCGTGATACTGTCATCTGAGGTTTAACAACACCTCACTCAATTCTCTTCTTAAGATAGAGACCTAGCTAGTATCATATCATGTTCTTTTTTTGGTGAGGTATTGAGTTTTATCTACTATGCATTATATTTTGCTTCTTCCATTTGTTTCTTATTATGCTTATGTAAGTTAGATTGGTATTGTCTATGTAAATACAATATAACTTTGTGCATGAAAATATATACAAGAGAAACACCGATTTGTGTATGATCGATATTTCACAAAAAAGATGATGGGTATAAAATTAGGGCGGACGGCTTAAGTCCCCTTAAAGTTGTCTGCATAATTCATTTAGACATCTCAACTGAGACTCTTACCTATTAGACACTTTAATATTAACGAATTTTTATTTATTGAACATAAAATGACAATTAGCTTTAAAAATATTGTGCGTGTAATTCATACACATTATCTTGATAAAAATCACAAATAGAATTACGACACGTGGCACATGGGCCCATAATTTTAATTTTAAAAAATAAAAAATAATTTCCAGCCTTTAATAATATAGAAAAAGTTAAATTGATAAAAAAAAAAATCTCTCCCCCTACCCAATCTAAACTATTGCCCTTTCTTCTTCATCTTCTTCTCTGTCATTCCGCCATCGCCATTCACCATTGATTCCTCCGGCTATAACAAAAAAGAAAATATTTAGCCCCACCTCATCCTGAATTCACCCACCAAATCCTTTCCTCTTTCTTTTTCTTCGTTTTATTCTATTCCTCCGACGGTTATTACGATTTTTGTAAAAATAATCGACCTCGATAAATTATTTCAAAATCGACATATAAAAAAAAAAATATAACATTTTTAATAAGTTTAATGAATGGTGATAGTTGCTCGATCAGAGTTATTGAAAATAAAGATGAACAAATATTGGTCAACTTTTTAACTCCAATAGTCAATTTTTTTTTTTTCTTCTTCTTGCAAATTCAATAGGCAATTTGCTTACAAAAGATGAAAAAAAAAATGAATCAAAACAAAAGGGAGAGAAATTTGAAGTTTTTAAAATGGTGGGTTGAAGAAGAAGATGACTTGTACATGGGTGTGGGGGTGGGTTTTTTTTTAATGATTTAAAAGATTAATGCTTAATTAAATTAATTTTTTATTTATTTAGTCAATGCATACCAAGTGTCAAGAAAGTAGGTACACATTTATTTTTAAAAAATAAAAAAAAATGCATTCACGCGCTCAGCAGCAGTGAGATACAATTATTTTGTCACATCAATGTTTTGTGTTTAATAGGTATATGTCTTGCACAATTTAGGTGTTCAATAGGTACTAGCCCTAGTCGAGGTGTCTAAATGAATTATGTGGACAACTTTAAGGGGCTGCCGATGACTTAAGCCAATTACGGCTAATGGGTAATGAAATTAGGCCTGATGGATTTTCACATTAGTTGGGTCGGATTTTACTGAATGGGTCGGATATAATACTAAATAAAAAATATTTTTTAAAATTTAATTATAATAAAAGTATATACACATGGAGTCATGTAAGCGCCACGTGGACTAATAAAAATGGTGACATGATAAGTTAACTATATAAGGGTAAATATGTACCCAAAATTGGATGGTAAGGGCAAATATATCAAAAAAGTATGACGAAGGATAGATATGACTCTATTCTAAGAGTACAAAGGCAAATATGACCCTTTTCCGTATCCAAAAAAGAAAATAGTTTAAGTTGTAAAAAAGTCAATACATTTTAATCAGTTTGAATATTTTTTACAAATTAATAAAACTTTGGGGAAAAGCGCGAATGTGCCATTCAATAATATTTTTACATATTTTTAGTGTTTGACAAATAAGTCAAAAATATTATTACAAATACATTTATATCTAATCAGATAAATATTAAAGATAATTAAGAGTGTGTGATGATAATGATGAATATATGAACTATACCACTATGGGGGGATGGGGTGGAATACGATGTGTTGGAGGATGATCAAAAAAGTGAACCACGCTTTTAGGCCAAACACACGAATTGTCAAAATGAAATTTAGCAACAAGTTTAAAAAATATATTTCTTCTTATCAAACTGAATTAAGCACATGGTAAATGGTTGGATGTTCAATTGCCCATGTGTTTGGTTTAGACAAAAGAGGCAAAAATTAATTTTTTAAAAATGAAGGTGGCCAAAAGTGAATGAGACATTGTTATCATTTCAACCTGACAACTCTAAATATATATATATATATATATAGTATACCTAATTTTCAACCACAGATATAATAATAATTATAATAGTTTGATGTTTTTCTTTAGTTTGACTTTGCAACTTACTATTCCTCTATCAACAATAATTATTCATTATTAAATTGATACACCTTTTAAAAAATTATAAATAATAAGAATAATATTACAATTTTATTTTTTAACTTTATTAAGTTTAATGATTTAAGAAATGTGTTAAGCAAAGATAAAATAGACACAAAAATAAATTATTTCTTAATTTTTTAAACTGAACAAATATTATCGTATAATTATTTTTAGTATAATAATTATTATCGAAGGAAGAAGTATCTAAGATACAAACTACAATATTGCTTCAACTCAAACTCCTACATGTTGATATCCTTCTAGTGAGTACTGTCCCTACATATCTTCAACATTATAATATATTTTCTTACTTGGAAAATAATTAGATCTTATCCTAAGCGATAATGATCACGTGGTTTAAACTAGAATTTATTTTATTATATGTCGAGTTGAGTATAATAAACGCCTAGTTATAATTTATTATGCGATGAGAGAGATTGACCAAAAAAATTTCACTTTCTAAGATTTAAATTAGGTAAATTTTGATTAATATTTTAAATTATAATTTTTATGTTAATGTGAAAGAAATTGTAATTTATTATATTTATGGTATACTTTTTGAATACTTAAATTTTGTTGAAATAATCGTGCATGGGATAAAAAAGGTATTGAGTATTTGCCTTCTATAACCTTAGTTACATTACAAGAAAATATAACAAAATTAACCGTGGAATTTATAGGCAATTCCTTGCTAATCCGTTGCTAAAAGACACCTAGCTAATTGAATTTTCCTATAAATTTATTGCTAATCCATAGTTAAAGAGGATTAGAGTGAGATTTTTATTGTTTAGCTATATACAAGATTTTGTCCATTGCTAAGTCCTCATTTTCTAGTAGTCCCCTCTTTTAAGCTAACTTTTGATGTTGAATTCAGCGCCTAGATGTAATGATATCTTTACATAGTATTAAAGCATGACACAAGTCTTATATTTGTAAACTAAATATAAAAAAAAAATGCGATTCTTTTAGACCGACTTTAAAAAAAAGAAATTATCACATAAATTGAAATGGAGAATACAAAAATCAATATTTCACTATTTCAAAGGGAAAATATACTTTATAAAGAAGCTGAATTTAGCAAAAACACAAACATGATGGAATATATCAAATTAAAATTATGCAATACTTAAAAAAGAAACAAAAAAAAAGTAGTGTCATTATTTATCTTGGCGATTTTAGTGATTCAACTTGAGATTTTCCACAAGGACCCTTTGTTCTAATGAAAGCTCGATATTCGTTGAACGTCATCGGTAAATATAACACTGAACGATCCTCCGTCACAAGTTCATTTGCAGGTTTAATGAGAATGTCACCTCCTGGATTGTAGAAGAACGCTAAAGAAATACGTTCTTTCGCAGAATTAACGATCACACGATGTTCTATACTCTTGTATATTGCGTTGCTTAATACCTGTAAAATGTACAACATAAAATGTGAACAAAAAAAAAAGTAACTTGAGTATAAACCGGGCCCTAAATCATCACTCTACTCTCTTCATACTCATTTCGCGAACCAATATTTCCACATTCAACATACACTAGAAAATGACTAATCGTTTTTTCTACCTAGCTATATATATAATTACCTGAATTTGATCTCCCATGTTGACGATGAAGGCATTAGGAACCGGTTTAACCGTTATCCAGTCATCACCATGACGGACTTGGAGGCCGGCGACGTCGGTGTCAGGGAGGAGAAGGGTCATGCCACCAGGATCAGAGTGGGGAGAGAGTCCAAGTGTTAGGTCAGGCTGGGGACATTTTGGGTAAAAATTAACCCTTAAACATGCACCTCTTTCATTGTCTCCACCAAATTTTGTGTGTAGATAATTTTCATTTAATCCAAGGTTTATCGATAAGATTTTCGTTAATCTTTCACATAATTTCATTACTTCTTGTCCATATTCACCAATTATTTGCCTGAGATGTCATAAAAATAACAAAAAGTGATCAAAAAGAAGATAGAAGTTAGAACTTATAACATGTACTATAGTCCACAAAATGTATGAGTTTAAATTTTGATATGTTTTAATATAGTATACTATAAAAATTTTACATCATCATTGGATCACTGAAATTTTTTATAATGTGACATGTAATCTTGAAACAAGTATAATAAAGGTTTTTTTAATCGCGAATTAATGAAAAATTTGTGCTATAACTCATTTGTCATTGAATCATTTCACTAAAAAAATATGATGAAAAATAAATTATCACTTGTGAAATAATGAAAAATTTCATAATTTTTTCCGTATGAAAACGTTACATTTATACTAGAGTAAATTATATCCGATGTACAATAGCACGTTTGTCACGGAAGAATTGTACTATTGGAAAAGTGAGGAAAGATAGAATGTCGATCAGATATGTCGACTAAAATTTATTGCTAATCATGTTGATGTGTCCATTAAATTGTTAAAACCCGTGGTATTAAATGTCATGAGATTTATAAAGATATTAAATTATTTTATTAGGGATAAATAAAAAATTTAAAATTTAATTGTTCTTAAATATATAAAAAAGAACGTGTCATTGTTTTTCCGAAGTACTGATTATAAGAAAATAGTACTCCCTCTCTCTCATTTTTTTTTTTTTTATGACAAGGAAAACTCGCAGCCGCTATCCTTTGGGTGCGCACAGGGTAAAACCCCCGCTCCTATGCAATAGCTCGCAAACCACATAGGAGAGGTAACCCGCACTAGGCAAGCCCAGTGCGACGAGCTCGACCCAGAAGGCAAACCCGCTTTCGCTGGCAAGGGGTTTCGAACTTGAGACCTCCAACATGGAAGTCCCAAGCCCAAACCACTGGGCCACCCCGAAGGGTCTCCCTCTCTCTCTCATTTTATGTAACACTTTTCGAATTTCGAGATTCAAACAAGTTTATATTTGACCGTAAATTTTTTATTGATCTTTTAAACATTTTGAATTATCAATTATTGTGACTTATAGTATTTTTTACGTAGTTTACAAATATATAAATTTCATTTCAAAAAAATTAAAGATTTCGTGCGCAAATTCTCGGTCAAACTTAAATTGCGACTCTCGAAAAACGAAAAGTGCATATAAATTGGGACAGAGGGAGTACATTAAATGGATGGAGGGGGTACTATATCAGTAATTAAATAAATAAAAGTGTGTTATTTATATCCACTGATTTTTCTTGGATCCATGAGATCACACACTTCAACATGATATTGAAGCTAACATATAGGTCCCGTATCCGAGTCTCCCCACCACCAATTTATGTAAAAATAAATAAAATCACGCTATAACCAAAATAGTCACACACTTCAACACGTTAAAATTGAAAAAAAAAAAATGAAAGTTCACCTGCATGAAATAGGAAGACTAGGCCATTTATTCTCATCCTTCAACTTCTCAGGAAGATAATGAAGGAAGAAATAATCACACCAATCCAATTTAGCACCTTTCACCACTCCAAGTCTGCTTCCATAACCCTCATAAGTAATTGGCGAATTCGCAAACTTCTGCTTCTCATCCAGCCGGAGATGAAAGAACTCCCGCCAGACACCACGTGCGTTAGCCATAAGTTCATGGCTAACGCCATGGTTCACCACCTGGAAGAAACCCCATTCGCGACAAGCCTTGGAAATGATTTCCATTGTCTCGTCGCGAATGGATTCATCCGATGACTTCAAGTTTTCAAGGTCAATCAACGGAATATTATGAACATGTGATGATGACAACGTTGTCATCTCACTTGGCCTGTCCGATAGGAGCTTCACGAAGTTTTCGGGAATTTTCTTAATGCCACTTTCGGACAGTTCATGAACTCGAATAATCGGCTCGGGCCAACTTTGTAACCGGCTCATGATTATTAAGTTGTAGTGATCGAATCGTTTGTTCAGTACTGCTAACTATTTATAGTACAAAGTTTTGTTGGTTGTCGACAAGGTGGGATAATGATTAAAAGAAGCAAAATTAGCGTTAGCTATTAGTTGAGAAACGTGAATTTCATGGGATGTTGGGGTTTGTGCTATATTCAGTTGTAGTTTATTTGTTGTGTACTACTACTACATGAGGAATCTTAATTGTAGTTTAGGTTGTCGTTTTATTGGTCGATTGGAAAGAAAGATGAGATGTATGGGTCCAGAGACTAGACTAGACGAATATTTATAATAAGTTTTAAAAAAAAAAATATAGGTTATAATGAACAAGTTGTTTGGCAATGTACGGTAGAAGAACTAGGACTGAAAAGTTATTTTTATTATAAGAGTACATGATATGATATGATATATGATATACTATACACCACCACGTGTGTCAAATTATCGATTTTAAGACTATATTTTATATTGCATTGTGTGGAGAGTAGACTGCCACGCTAAAGAACAAACACAAGAAAAAATATATTAAAGATTTGTGACTTATAAGGAGTTTGATTAGCTTAAATATATTATTTCCTCATTCTCATTTTATATAAATTAATTTGACTCGTTATATAATTTTTAAAAAAAGAAAGGATGACCTTAGAAATTTGTAATCTAAAATAATGAGATAGTGTAACTATAAATTATTTCATTAAGAATAAAATAAATATTTTAAAATTAAATTATTAATTAATATAAAAATATTTTTTCTTGAAACCGCCTAAAAAAGAAAGTAATAAGTATATGAAAACAAAAAAAATAAAAAGAGTTAAATTACGGCTCCGTGATGGTCTTTACTTCTTCTTCTTCTTTCCTATTTTGTCACTCACACACGTGCTTATTGGAACGAGAGCCATGACGTATGAGTGGGTAGTGTAAATTATGGTGGTTTGGTATGAAGTTTTTTATTTTCTAATTTGATCGGTTTAAACATTTGAAAAATATTTTTTAAATAGACTTATTTTTCTTAAATAATTTTTCAACAAAAAGTAAGAAAATCATGTTTCCATTGAACATCCAAACCTAACACGGGACTCAACTCTCAACCATGATTTGGGACCCAACCTTGATCAACCCCTCGATCCCATTCTGAGACCTGATCCCTGACCCCAATTTAGGAACTAACCCTAAACTCGACTTTTGAGTGGACCTAAACCAAACTCTCGACCCAAACCCAAGTCTTGATCTCGACTCAACACCGATTCCAAAACCCCACTCGATACCTGACTCCTGACCAACCTCGACCTGGTACTACCCCAACCAACTCGACCCGACTCGGCTGGTTAATGTCAGGTTTTGTATTGGGGTTAGGTATCTTAAACTCAGTTTGGTATCAGGTTCGAGGTTAGGTCTCGAGTTAGCGTCAGGTCCTGGATCGTGGATGGGGTTAGTTATTGGGTCTTGGGTTGAGTTAGGTCAGGGTTGGGTTGAGGATCAAATTCTGAATCAAGGTCGAGGTCAAGATCAAGATCATGTTGGAGGTCGCATCCCGAGTTGAGGTAGGGTTCAGGGTCGTGTCTCAGATCAATGTCGTGGTTAGGATAGAGGTCCGATTATGTGTTAAAGAGTGGGAGTTCGGGTTTGGTATCCTGACCATACTTAAATGTTCTTAGGACAATATTTTTTTTCTTACTAACCAAACACTAAAAAATGTGTATTAAAAAAAAACTCACTTATTTTCCAGTTTTTTGCGGAAAACATTTTCCGTGGAAATCATTTTCTTCCGTACCAAACACACCCAATGTGAAATATTATAGCCTACTTCTATTGATATTAAAAAATAAAAGACAAAAGAGGGTTGCATAATTTCCGCAAAAACAGAATAAATTTTGTTTCCATCCAATTTTCAAAATTAAGATTGCAAGTGTAAGCCTCGTTCCCATTATTATCAAGAACGAGGAGTAACTATTGTATTTTTTCAATGTCGACACCACGATTTTATCATTTTACGTATATGCATTTTGTTTAGAAATTTTGATCATATATAAAATAGATTCTCACTTCTATAAAGTCATTTCAAGTGTCTTTTTTTTATTTGATTTCTCACTAGAGTAATATTTAGATGGATTAAATATGTTAAATCGTGGATAAATGGGTTACCGCTTCCAATATTTGCTAGGGCGTCCACATATGAGCTAGTCAATTTAAATTTAGGAGCTACTATGTGGTCTTATATGTTTCATTATAATTATTACATATTATTTCATAATGTATCGTTTTATATATATATATATATATATATATATATATATAGATATAGTTTTCATAAATATCATAGTGTTAAGAGCTAATTACATCTTATCCCTACTCTTTTTCAAATTACAAAATCCTTTAAAATTTAAGGATTTCAAATATATCAATCAACGTCCGATACATTACGTCCCTATACATTATCTTTGTTGATGTAAGACACACATGTCCCGATACATCGCTCAACGTCTCAATACATCTCATCTCAATACATTACCTAATTTGTTGACAAGACACATACATTGCGTCCCTTACATCGCATAAGAGCGATGTATCTGAGAATACGACAGAGTGGCGATTTTTCTATTTTTTTTCAAATGGTAAAGAATTTTAGAAAATATAATAAAATAAGTTATGTATTTAGATAATTTTTTCTATATAAAACGACAGAGTAAATAATAAAATAAAATAATAAAATAATAAGTAAAGATAAAATTTAAAAAATAATAACATGATAATAATTGTACCTAAAATAAAACTTTTCACCATCATCCATCAATAAATTTAACAATACTCTAATATAATAAAATTTAAATAATAATCAAAATAAATATTATATTTAAATTCATAACGTAATAGGAGTACAATCTAAAAAGAAAAGAGAAAAAGTGGCCCAAAATAGAGTTCACATGCACCATGATGATACAACGTATTATGACAGAAACTTTAGTGTCAGAAACAAATTTCAGTTTGAAAGCAGAAATCATCGTCGATGTCGTCTTGTCCTTTAAACAATGTTTGACCGACATACATAACAATATTTCTCCCTGCAATATTTTTTATATTTATTTAATTACTTAACTTTTTTGATATTTTTATTTTTATATATGGGCACGTGATCTATGAGTATTTCATTTCTTTTTGCGGTTTGATGAATCGATTACACTTATTATTTTAGCGATAATAAATATTCACATTAATAAATAAAATATTAAAGTCTTTATTGTTATTAATTAGTTAATTATCATTAAATTTATGTCACTAGACTTTAACAACATAGTGCTAAAATATAATTATCACTATTAATTATTGCTAAAAATATATATTTAACCACTAATATGATATGCTATTTGATGTTCATAACTATGTTCCTACTCATATATATAAATATGATAAACTTGAATGGTGCATGTAGCATGACAACATAAGTTCACATAATCTTGAGCCGAAAAAATCAAGTTGAGGTATCCATGCATCTTTACTATTATTATATTATTATGTATTAGATTTAGAAAAAGGATAGAGACAATTCCTTATACTTAATTCCCACTTTTACAAGGTGGGAAATGAACCTTACAAAAGAATAATATGTTGGAAAATAAAATAGATATATGGTGATAAAGTCATGGAAGTTTGAAAAAGAAGAAAAGAAAAAAAAAAGGAGGAAGAAAATGTAGGAAGAAGAAAGACGAGGATAAAGATTAGGGCAACTAAAGAATGTGATTTGTGTAGTTATCTTGTCAAGCCTTCTAGAGAATTAGATAAATTTTGGGGAAAGTTACGAAAATACTACTAGTTTAGGAGCTGAATACTTAGACACACTATAATTTGCAATATTATGTATCCTATCATATTTTGGTGCGTCCAAATATGTTCAGGTACGTCCAGATACATGTATTTCGGGATATATGTGTTCAAAATAATGTGTAATTTATTATAGATACATTGTATCCAAGTAAATTCACATGTATATGAAATACATAATAAATCTCTCTCGCCTCTCTCTCATCTCGCTCGTCACTCTCTTATGTATCTGGTATCTTAGATAATGTGAATCACACCAAATAAATACAGATACATGTATCTAGTGTGTATCTAGTATAATTCACATGTATCTGAGATATATAACAAATCTCGCTCGCCGCCCTCCTCATCTCGCTTGCCTCTCTCCCTATTTACTATATCTTATAGCAAAAGATACATGTATTTAAGTGTATCTTCTTCAATATATGATAAGAAACTCTTAATTTTTTTTTAAAAAAATATAACATTTTAAAATATAAATAATAATAATATATATAACAGTAAAATATGACGAATTTAGGGAGCTTCTCCTAAATTGTATGTGTGTCTAGTTAATCCAAAAGAATTCTAAAGTTTTGAACAACTCCAAGATGATTATACCTTGTACCTTTTTATTACCTCATAACTACAATTGTTCTATGTTAGTGGAACGGCAACTTATTTTTTTAATGCCAGTATTATTTTCTTCGCTCAAAAAAGCGACTCTAGAAGATATTGTTGCTATTCAGAAAAAATATTGATTTGAATTTTATAATTAAAATTTTTAGGCAAGTTCTGTTGCTTTTTATTTTTATAATTAACATGATTAAAAGTCGTTATATAAGATATAAGTGTAGTATAGTGAGTACTGATTAGTGAGTATGATGTGAATCCATGGTAAAAAAGATTCAAAAACTAAAGAAAATAAAATATATATTTACAAATGATAATTTTCATTGTTAAAGATATGAACGTTTGTTACATTAATAAATTATTTTTATATATAAGAAAATAATAATATGAAATTAAGCTATACTATTTATATTTAGACTTAAAAATTGGTGTTTGTTTTTAGTTGTTTCATAAACACCGGTAGAAAAGAAATGTAAAATTTGTCGATGTTAGAGAAATGTTAAATATCAATTAAGGACGGATCTACTCAAATTTGCATAAGTTAAGGGTATATTTGA